TTCAGCGCGTTGGCCGTCGTCGCACGGTGTTTCAGGTTGCGGAGAGGTATCGCAAACTTAAACGTGAACTTTACGAGTACAACTGTCTTCTTTACAATACCGATTGGGTAAAAATAGAGGCACTTTTGCGGAGCAATGCCACTCCCGAGGCGGAATTTTTTTTAGAATGTTCATGTAGGCTGAATATGGCTCGCAAAATCCCTTGGCTGACGGAGGATTCTATCCGTAGGACCTTTCTGTGGTATCAAGCAACACGTGTTAGCGGAGACGCTCTTATGCTACGAAACATTTACGCTGTGCTTCTAAGTAATGGGGACTACTTTTCTTCCAGGGAGGCCAGAGAAATTGGGGTGCGTCTCCTAGGGTGTGACCCGCTAGATTTACGCGAGGCAAGTGCTCGGGCAAGGTGGCGGTATGCACAGATTTCGGAGGAGGTGGCGGCTGCACGTCTTTCGTCATCGGTACTAGAAATCAAAGAGCGTGTCCTTGCGAAGGTGTTGCGTTGGCATGACAGTGTCTATGCTTCAGATTTCTTTCGTTTATCGATTAATGTGTTTGGCCAGCGAGATGGTGCTTTGGCGTGCTTTCGTATCTCACGGGATTACGAGCGACGTCGCAGGAAGACGGCACCGCGCGGTCGTCTCCAGCTGTTGTAGCACCGCCTGCAACCAGCAGGATGGGGAATACACACGCACACACAAACAAAAAAGTGCTTTTTGCACACCGTTTACTTAAAGTTGTCGATGTTTGCTTCTATCCTTTTTTTTTTTTTTTATGGATGAAACCAAAAAAAGGATATGGAAAGGAGACAAAGACGCTCTGAGTTTGGCGCTTTTTTTCCTTTATTTATATATATTTTTTTAATTTGTAAATTAAGTTTTAGATTGTTTTTGACACTCCTTGTTCTTTTTTTTTTTTTGCGTCAATTTGCATTTCTCACTACATAATTCTACGCAGGTTCGGCCCGAGAGGTGAGGGCAAGTCGAAGGATAGAAGTGAAACGCAAGGAAGAAGAAGCAATAAGAGAACAGTTTGCAGATGGACGCCTTTAATCCCATCTCTGAGGCTCAGCGGCTCCAGGAGGAGCAGGAGATACTTGAGCGTGACAGGAAGCGGCAGCAGGAGAAAGAGGAACGTGAGCGACGTGCGGCACAAGAAAAAGAGGCGGAGGAGCGGAGGAAGCGAGAGGAGATGGAACGCCTTATTGAGGCGGAGAAGAGACGTATAAAACAGGAGGAGGAATGGCGCAAACTTGGGACGGATATCATTCAGAACCTTCCTCCCGTACCACCCTCCGTTGTTAGCGAGGGTCTGGTACAAGCATGGTACCTTGACGACGAAACCTCAAAACCAACACTTCGAACTGCGAGCTTAAAAAAGGGGAAGAAACGTGACACTCCGCCCGTGACGCTGCAGCAACTGAAGGATCTCGGCGTCATTTACTATGATATAAACTTGAACGACTTTTCCATTGTCAGGCAGTTGGTGAAGGAACGCCTTTATAAGCATACGGATGAGGTGCATATTTCACAGACATGTAAAGATGAGTCGTTTTTGGAGCGTTGGTTCCAAGAGCACTTCAACGAGGATGAGCAAATTCGCATTGTGATTGACGGCTCCTGTTACTTTGATGTGCGCTCCAAGCAGGATAAGTGGATTCGTATTTATGCAAAAGCGGGAGATTTGTTTATTTTTGCACCAGGTCTTTATCATCGTGGCACCCTGGATGAGGATGACTACGTTGCACTCTACCGTCTTTTTCGCGATTCTCCACGTTTTGCCCCCTTTTTCCGCTCCGACGCACGGGCCGAGTCGCAGAAGGTACGTCTGAATTATTTAATGTCACTAAAGAAGGGAAATGTTGCGGCAGAGATTGGGTTTCGCTGAGTGATGTAAAATTATGTTCGTTTGAACGTGCTGTGTTGATGTACATTTCCCGAAAGTAGTGAGTGCCGGTGCAAATTTTTTACCGAGGGAAAACGAAGACTTTTATTTATTCCTCTGGAGGAGTTGAGAAGTTTGGGTTTTATACTTCGAGAATATTTTGCAAGCTGTTCTTATTTTTAATGCACTATTTTTTTTTTTTACCTTCGCTTTTTTCTTTTCTCTGTTTCAAAATTGCGTATAAGTATGGTCATTGCAGGGCAACTGCTCCTGGGGAATTTTTTATTCATTTCTTGTGCTTTTTATTGCGTTCTCTCTATTTCTATTTCTTGTACCGATTTGTATTTTTTTTTTTTGTTTCTTTTTTTTTTTTTTTTTTTGGTTTTGGTGGACTGGGGAAGGTCGCACCACGTTGTCATTTATGCATGTTTTGTTTGGAGCACGCATTGCAGGGGGCGATGCCGACGGGGGCAGTGATGGAGCAGACGACTCATATCGGTCCCGCCGAAGTCACCGCGCTGCTTGTGCAGAGGGATGTACCGATTGCGTGTTCAACGAGACCCAACGGGGTACTTTTTGGTGGGATTTTTCATGGCCTTGGAAAAACAAAGATTAATGCGAAGTACCATTCTCTCCATTGGTCGTCGGCAGACCCAACACGAGCGCCAGCGGCCTGTTTTCCTCTAGTGGAAGACTCCCTTCACTGTGAAGTTGTTGGTGAATTGATTCATGTAGTGAACGATAAGGACACCGTTTCACACTTTGCTTCAAAGAAGACACGACAGTCTTTGGTTGGATTGGTGAAACTCGTACAAGGTACGGATGGTGTTTACACGAAAAGCATCATTCAACTGCACAGGTCATGGCTTTTTTATTCACAGATGATATCGGAGAAGGAGAGTAGTTGTGGGAATACTATACATGCTATGGAGTTGTTTTGTAAAAAGTTGGTTATGTGGATCTTTAGCTGCTACGCGAGGGAGCCTACGACGCAACTGACACTTCGCCAGTTGGAAAATGCATTTCCACTACTTACTTCGGTGGATGTACAAGACCGTCGCCGTGTTGTGAGTGGGGCTTTGACCCGTTTTGCAGGAGGGTTGCTCTCATTTTACGACGACCGCGTCATTGCATTGAAACATGTCCCCGTCCATGCATTCTCTTTGCTCTCTTTGGAAGAGTTTAGAATGGTGACATCAATGGAGCAGGCATCTGTTGCTTTTCTGTTCAAGTGTCAAATGCGACATGAAGAGGTTTTAGAGGCATTGCAGACCGTGTTAGATGCCTGGGGAAAACGTGGTGCTGCGTTAGCATCATCATTTATGCGATTGGCTGTTGCGGTGATTCTTTCACATGCAATTGGTACATGTGCTTTGTTGCCCCAAGATCTGAGAGGCTCGGTACGCCCCTTTGTTCTTCGCTACTTGCCAACACTACTGGTCCTTCACGGAGAGGAGCCCATTCTTGGGAGGCTTGCCGCTTTGCTGCGGCAGCCAAAAACTCATAAAAGGTCCACCCCGATTTCAGTACGACGGAGAATGGAAGAGATCACACGGGCCGAACCGATAGTTGTCGAGCCATCTGCCGCGTGTGCGGAGAACGTTGCCCGATCGGAGATGGAGGGGGGATACTTTTTTGAATCCGTTGCACCTCTTCCGCAGTTGGACTCCGAGGTGGCCTGGAAGATTGCAAAATGTACATGCCGTCACACGATTGTCTCTTTTCCAAAGAAGCATGCCTTGAGAAACAACGCGGTTGGTGGCTCGGATCCGGACTGTCTATTCTCCGCTTTTTTGTTTTCATGTGCACGTCTGCACTTGTCGTGGCCGTTGCTTAAGTCTTTTGGGGACGAGGAGTTGTGCTTGAGTTTGAATCTTGGCAAGGCCTCTCACGCAACACCGGACGAAGAATTGGTGTGGAAAACAGAGAGGAAGAGGAAACGCGGGAGGGGACGGGCGTGAAACTCTGAAGGGCAAAAACAGTGTGTGTGTGTGTGTGTGTGTGTGTGTGTGAAACAGAAAGAAGTTTCTTGTTATTCCAACGAGGGAAAGCAGAAATAATGAAACTGCAAAAAAGAAAAAGAAAAAATGAGGGGCGCACCAATGACGGCCCAAAACACGGACGATAAAAGAAATGGAAGGGAATGGGATAAAAAAAAAACAAAGCAAAGAAAAGCGTCGGGACCCCGCTTGGATGTAAAATTTTACCCACATATTCTTTTGTCTTGTTTTGAGGGAGAAGGGAAGAGAAAGAGGGAGGGTTGCTGACTACTGCACTGGCGTATCACTTGCTTCAGGGAGTGTCACCTGTCTGCTGCCATACCAACTATCAAGTTTGTTGCTAGCACCATGTGCTCTTCCATGCGTGAGTAAACGCCTACGAAGAGGAGGAGGTGTACGTGACATTGTGTGAGGTTGCTTCTTTTTTTGTCCACCACACTGAGTTTTTTTAGGGTGGGCAAATACAATAATTTGTTTGTGCATTCGGCGTAGTCTAAACGATCATGCGAGGGGGCGCGAAGATTGTGGTGTCATGAGTGTCAGTGCCACGCAGGGAACTTGGCGTTTAAATTTGTAACAGAATTTAAACTTCAGCTAAGTGAACTGCGACTGCGGCGCTGCACTTCAGCGTTTACGCTGGCAATTTGTCGGTAACCGGCTGGGGTTTTCGAAGGGTGTTTGGTTGAAAAGCCGGTGATCGGGCCTTTGGTGGCACTGAACGAACTTCAGCTGGTCATTCGTGGGCGAACCAACGTGAGAATTTGTTATTTTTGTGAGAGGAGGCGGCGGAGACGGTGGGTTTGGGTGCGCGTTTGAGGCTGAGCAAAATGAATATCTGAGAAACGAACAGACCCACCTGTGCACATATAAACAAATAAATAAATAATGGTGGCCGTCGTTCATGCCTGAATAAATATTATGACAATTGTCTTTTTTTTGTTTATTTTATTTTCAAGATTTTTTTAGTGGATTTTTTCTTTTTTTTTTTTTTTTTTTTTTGGTGCGTACGGACGAAGGAAGTGAAAAAAAAAAAAGAAAAGAAAAGAAAACGGGCTAACACCTTATTAGTATTAGCCATGAGCACAATTTCGGTGGCATCTGAAGAGTCTCTAAATGATGCGCCTGTTTCTATTGCCTCCACTACGGGCGCTGAGGGAGTCACGTTTGATTCTAACGAGCAAACGAATCTGGACGACATGATTGGCGTGGCGGAGCCGTTGAAGCATACGTCGACACTCACGTCAATCGTTGACCAAAAAGTCGCATTGATTCAAAAAGGCGGTGCCCCCTCTGTGCACTCTTTCCTTTACACCGTGCCTCACCTTTTCACCCTAACCGAGGAACAAATTACTGGCCTAAACGTGATGCTGCGCGAGTACAGTGAAATGGATATTATTGTCGATGAAGGAACTCTACTAACGCATGTCTTTGTGCTGGCTTCAGGCACCGTTGAGGTTATCAACACAAAAGTTGGTCGTGCATCCATCGTTGGCCATCGCCGGGTCGGGAGTATTACTGCACCAAACATTTTTGGTATCGATAGTGTAATCTTGGAAAAACCAACGGAGTTCTCATACCACGCAAGTTCTTTAACAACGCTACTTCTTATACCAAAGCGACAATTCTGTGAGCTTTTTACTCGTTCCCCAATGTTTTCCAGTAGTGTTTCTGTTCAGATTGTACAAACTCTTTCTGCATTCGCCGTATTTGAGGATTTTTGTCGTGCTCTTTTTGGGTTATCGTCATCATCCGTGTGTGGAAGACGCAGTTTTGGTGAAGGCGGGTATAAGTTATCTATACCCACAGCCGTGAGTATTTATGAGTCCAGTGGCACGGTCGTCCACAAATTAATGCATTCTACTGCAATTGATACCGATGCGTTGCATTACTGCGTCAAAAGACTTCCGGAGAACATCACGGAAACATTTCTTATTACTTTGTCGCGCAGCATACCTAACTACCTCTCCGATGGAGTCGCCTTTTCAACAACAATATCTCTTGAGTCAGCACGACGGCGGAGGGGCGCGTGGAAAATTGCCGAAAAAGGACAAATTATTGTCATGGCGCGGGATGGATTTACAGACATTATTGATTTTGTTACCAACTTGTGCATGTTGATTGTAGAAACGAAAAAAATAAGGTTGCGTTTGCAGCGACTTGCTTCACCACTGGCCATTGATTTTCTTCGCAATTTACTTTCCATGGATGAAGCGGTATCGAAAACTGCAGTCAGGGCGGTTCTTGCCCAGTTACCGTTTTCAGAGACGGAAATTGATGGCCTAATGCAAGTTTGGGAAGGATCCGCAATTATCAATGTGCTGTACAACATTTTATTACACCGTGAGGAGTTTGTTGTGCACGTTGACGTAAACTTGTCGAAGAAGTTCTCTCAAGATCCTTATCAAAAGTGGGGTCTTTGCATCAATCGGCACATCAGGGCGGAGCTTGGTATTGGTGGCGAAGAAGCACTCCCATCGGATTTGACGATTGATATCATTTTTTCATCTAACATTACTATTAAGAGTCTTTTGTGTTCTGCTCCTGAGGAGTTCAGGTTGTTGCTGGAGAAATATATTGAGTCCCAGGCATCGACCACCACGTTGAAGAACCCGGATGATTATTATCTCTATGTATTAGCACAGGTTTTGGAGGAGGAGGACTCCATGAGGGAGGCGTATCGTCAGCACCTAGAGGAAGCAGGCTTTATCATGATGGAGGATTCATTTATGTCGGGACTTGTCGTCGATCTTATTAACATTGGTAAATTGCCTATTTCAGGTATAAATGCCTCATTGCGTTATGCAGCGAAAAATAGGCAACGCATGCAGGGAAATAGCTTTATTATCAACGTTGATAGGACGTTTGGTGCACAGGTTGAGACCATTTTACGAACTCTTGTTCTTATTTTTGGCGATTATATTCGCAGTGTTAATCTCACTGGTGGTGTGGCCGGCGTTGTCGGGAGTCGTGGCGATGTTGTTCTGCCCACTCGACTGCTTTTCTCAAAACAATCTTTTGGAGAGGACTCTACCGATGAAACACGCGTGTGCAACACAGACGGTATACATGAAAAGGATGTAATTCCCTTTTTGGGAGAAGGCAACGTGGCTCTTCACAGGGGTGTGTGCGTCACGATTCCTGGCGTTTTTCTGTATAGTGACTCCGTATTGCGGTTATATAAGGTGGTTCATGGATGCACTTGTGTGGATATGAGGAGCAGTTACGTGGCGCGGCAAGTTGAGGAGAGCCACCGCGCAGGGGTACTAAAAAGGGGAGTAAAGAGAAGATTTCTGTTTTATGTGGACACGGTGCCCCTTAACAACGATGGGGACTCCGAGTCTTACACGCAGAAGGGCGACGTACTGTTTTCTATTTACGCAACCGCCCGTTCTCTATTGAATTTGATTCTTTTTTCCTGAAAGGTATCGTGCCGTATATATATATATATTATTTCTTGCAACTTTCATTAAAGACGAACCACTCGGAGATGTCGTTGTTGGAAGGGAGGGGAGGAAGGAGCTTCCCTTAATTTTTGCCTGTTAATTTTCTTTTTCTGTTTATTTTATTATTATTATCATTATTATTATTATTATTATTATTATTATTTTACTCCTACCAGCGCGTCTAGCTATACAGTGCCATCTCAGTGCCGAAGAGGTGGTCGAGCAACGACAAAAGTTTCCTGCTATGAAGCAACTGCCATTGAGAGAACTTTCCGAGGCGAAGGTCCTGTTCAATGCCCAGCCATTGACGCACAGCCAAGGTGCCTGGACATTCTAGAAGCAGATGGTGCAAGGTTTCCTGCGGGCCGATTGGCGTGCTTGTGGAAGCTGGCTGATCCTGCGGCAGCAGAGATCGCCTCCTGGCACTGCTGTTTCGATGCCGTGTGGCGTCTGGGTTGTGTGCGCAGCGACTTCTGTGCGGTGCGGTGCTTCTCCGTGTGGGGAAAACCATGTCACAGAAATCACATTTGAGCTCGGGAAGCGGTGGAGGATGTTCCGGATGAAATGACCGACAGTGACTGACGAGACCCGAGAATCCCGTCAATGTAGAATCACAGTGCGGACATTTCTCCTTCCGACGGCGTGTGAGGGTCCGTCTCCTTACTGGAGAGACGTCTTTCTCCCTCGCCGACGGGGGAACAGTGTCCGTCCCCGGTGCGGTTGGATCGTTGTTAGAGCGCATATATGCAGACTGTTCCGGTGAGATGTTGCAGAAACGGCATTGGTTCGTGCAATCCCTCACGGCCCAGTATAGTCGGCCCCAGAGCTCAGATTCCCCGCACCTTGCCCTTGCGAGGTGAACCAGTTCCTGACGGTGAAGAACTTCCTGAGTGATCAGGTCCTTACCGCTGAGATCGGATGGCCTTGTGCCGCAAAGCAAGTAGCGATGAGTGTCTTGACGAATGGTACTACGCCACTTGTTGGTGAGCTGGGTAGTAAAACATGTCAGCAGATCCGTATGCCATAAAGGCGCGATTCCTTGCTCCGTGTATTGTCCGGTTGCCATAGTCTGAGTCGCATACTGATCTGCAGGCTCGTTAGCATGTACTCCGCAATGTCCGTAACAAAACTGCAGGTGCACGGACCAGCCAGCACGCGCCAGTGTTAAGAGACGCTGCCAGATCTGATCCTCCGTCCAGTCGGTATGACTGAGCGGGCCCTTGTTTAGAGCCGCTAGAAGAGACTGACTGTCCGTAACCACAAGCAGGGTTTTACGCCTGTGTCGGATACGAGGGATCATCAGCTTCTCTAGGGCTAGAAGCAGCGCACGGGATTCCGTCCTGTAGCTGCATGGGCGTGCACCGCAGTTTATGCTGGCCTTTTCTATTATCTCCGATGAGTTGAGGGATGAAAGCAGTATTCCAACCCCTGCTGACTTGGGAACGTCGACACCGCCATCGGTCGCAAGTATCCACGAACGATGGCTGTGCAGCGCTAGAGCCTCTTCGCTGACCCTGCGCTTTTCCCTTATCAGCTCTTCTTCGTCCGTTATTGAGAGGTCTATCGGAAGTTCCACACCGATGGTGACCCGGTGTGCGGAGGCCGCAAACCAGGGAGGAATGGAGCTGCGAAAGAACCGCCCTTCGCGTGGTGAGCTCTCGGTGATGCCATAGTCCTTTGTGTATGCGTCTACGAAGGCATATAGCTCGTCCCGAGATAATGGCGAGATGCGGAAACCGGCGCGAGGCGGTGGCTCAGGCGGGGGTCTCCGCATCCAGTCCATCTGACATGCGCGTGTGTTCTCAAATATTGAGAGCCGCGCGCGCAGGCAGAGGACGTGAAGCGGCGGCATATTAGCCTCCAGCAGTGCGGATTCCGGGTCGACAGTGCTCGGAACTCCGCTGACAATGCGTGCCAGAGTTGCGTACGTCTTCTGCATCTCATTCTTCGCTGAATACGTCGCCACTGCCCATATGAGCTCGCTGCCATAGCGTAATTTGGAGCACCGTATCCAATGACGAACGTGCGTGGGTCATGTGGAGATGGTCCCGCCTCTTTGTGCGCTATGCAGCGTAGCTGCGATATCCGTTGCGAAGTGGCAGCGCATTGCTTGGTGGCCGCCACATTTAGCGTCAGTCGTGGATCGAGATCCATGCCGAGAAGCTTCGTAGTTCGCGATGCCCCCATGGTCATGACTGGGATTTGGCATCCAGCCACTACCAGGGGCCGCTTTCCTTCACGATCATAATCTGACTCCGTGTGCGTGGATAGTGTGAACCAAGCGGCTTCACACTTTGATGGGTTGATGGCCAGGCCATTTTCCTGACTCCACGCATGCAGCTTTTGAAGAACCATGTTGGCAGTGGGAATGGCGTCTTCCCGGGACTGCCCCTTAACGATAATAGAGAGGTCGTCCGCATACATGTCTGCTGTGGCACCCGCAAAGCTGTTCAGCAGATTGAGAAGTGGGTGTACGTAAAGGGAGAACAAATACGGTCCCAGTACGGACCCCTGAGGAACTCCTCGCAGCATGGGACGCCGATCGCTGTGTCTGTGCCCAACTCGTGTCTTCGCGTAGCGACCACATAGAAAGTTTCTAAGCCACCTTCTACAATTCACCCCCGGAATATTAGCCAGCAAGCGACTGAGGACTCGATGATCTATGGAGTCAAAAGCCTTGCTGAAATCAACCAGCACTAGCAGGGTCCGATGGGGTCTGTAGTGGAGTTGATTGCCAATACCGCTCTTCTTGGGAAGGCTCACTTGGAAATAGTGATTTCTATTATGCTCCACTTCGTGTATCAGGTGTGCCAGCTGCATCGTCGTGGTACGCACACTACGATATGCATACTGGTAAGGGTGCGGCGTCCACACCCAAAGCAATCTCTTCAGTACCATTTTCTCAGCAACCTTACTCACAATGGAGGTAAGGCTGATGGGTCGATATGACTCAAGCAGTTCCGGCGACTTACCGGGTTTTAAGAGTGGAACGATGGTAGCGCGTCTCCACTCAGCCGGGATCGTACCAGTCGTCCAGCTGTGGTTAATGCAACGAAGGAGGAATCGGAGGCCCTTTGACGAAATATGTCGCAGTGCCTCACTGTAGACTTCATCCGGTCCGGGGGCCTTGCCATACGGCGTATTACGTAGCGCAGCAAGCAGTTCCGTACGATTAAAAGGTGCATCAAGAGGGGAGTGAAGATGAGCAACTAAACCAGATGTGGTGGCAGCTTCGTTTTTATCCTGTGGCTCAGAACTAGATGAGAGTGAAGAACCTGAAGTAGATGTAGCGGCAGACTCGTTGTTGTTCTGCTGCCCAAAAAGAAAGGAAGCATTAATGTTCAAAGATGCACTCTGTCTGTTGATGCCTTTGGAAAACCTAACTGCCTTGTGAGAGGGGTGAAATGGAAAAAAGATGCGATTGAGAGCATTCGCTGCTCTCCTTGCTGTTTTATAAGTGTGTTGACCATCTCCTAATAAAATTGATGTGGGAGATGGAAGTGATGCCTTTTTTCGTCCGGAAATGTATTTCCATGCGAATGGCTCGCCTGGATTTAACTTGCTGATGCGGCGTAGATACGTGTTGCGCAAGCGCTCTCGGAGCAGAAGGAAGAATTGACTCCTTGTCCGTTGCATTTCTGCCTCACGGTCGGGCGTCGGTAACTGTAGATAGCGGCCCTTGCTGTCGGTAGCCATCCGCTCTGCCTCCATGAGAGTGTCGTCCCAAAGCCTGGGACCGTCCTTGTGCATGCCGCGGGGGCAATGTCGTCGATACGAAGTTATAAGCGCTCTCGTGAAGGCTTTAATGCCGGTGGACTGCTTTTTATAGTCATATGCCGGAAGTTGTGCGTCGAGGTCCTTGATGAATAAATCCCACTTGCACTTCCCCCAACTGTAGAAAAACATAGGTGCCGAAGGGGGTGCCGAAGGTATGGTATCCTTAAATGCCTGATGCAGCGTAAATGTCAGCATATAATGATCACTAAGCGGCGACACGGAAGCTGACCAATCCGACACAGTCAAATGCTTTGACCATGTCAGATCGATACAGGATCGTTCTCTTGTGCCACGGGCATACGTGATCTCACCAGGGGTGTTAACCAAGGTGAGTCCCGCATCCGTGCACAGTTCTAAAAATTCTGCAGCAACCTCGCTTGGAGAGGTCTCCAAGAATGGCTCCCACTGTGGGTGATGCATGTTGAAATCCCCACAAAGCAGGAGCGGCGACGAGGCTGGAAGGCAGTTTACTAACCGCCTGAAGGATTGCGTTACTTGCGGTGGTGGTCTCATATAGGCACTCGCTACAATAAGATCACGGTTCTGGTCCAGAGCAACCTGGACCACCACCACTTCAAGGCTGGTGTCGTGCTGGGGGATGGTGAGGGGTATACGCTTGGAGCGGAGAGTTGTACGCACCAGCACCGCCACACCGCCTCCCTTGCCGATGCGCGACTGTGCATAGAGCACATAATCTCCAGTGTGCATGCTGGCGATCTGCTCTGACGACTTCCATGTCTCCTGGATGGCTATTATGTCTGCTCCTTGCGCCATTAATGTTGCGAGTTTTGACGGCGTGAGGCATGAAACGTTCATCTGGAGTACTGCTATGGGGCCTGGGTTCTGCTCAATGTCTCCGCTTAGCAGTAGCTTTTGTCGTTGCGCGTCACATACGGCACGCAAACGGTATGTATAGCGCTGATTAGCGCCGATGGAATTCACCAGCGGATACAAATACCGCTCCGCGGGCAGCCATGTAAATGGCTCCATCTGGTGCCCTTCCGACCCGTTTGTGCGGCGCCTCCTGCCTCTCCGCGGGCAGCGGATGGGCAGCAGGCGCTTATCTTCCTCTCTAGCAAAGAGTACTAGACCCTGGCACCACGTTGAGGTGGCCGGCTGAGCCAGAGTTCTTCTGTTTATCTTTTTTTTCTCCGTTGTCTGGTTTGTTTATTTCTTTTATTTATTCGCATGTATTTTTATTTTGTTATTATTTTTTTTTTTCACATACTCAAATGTGATTTTATTTGAAGAGATGAGTTGGATGGAAAAGGGGCGGCCGTTTCTGCGGAGTCCTTTTCTTTTGGACACAAGAGAATTTATCACAGACAAGTGCATCCTTCGACAGTTGACGCACTTTGCTCATGTTCATCGCCTTGGAAGTCCTCTGTGGCTTGGCTGGGAATTGGCGGCAGACCTTGGGCTTACTCTGAGGTACATGCAGAGCCCTTTAAACATTTGGTCTCCCCTGATGGGCGAGAGCTTCTTTCCTCTCAATAAGGCATCCACTTTTTTGGATGCCGTCATGCAAAAATATCCGCTAAGACAGTTTCTGCATTTCTCAAAAATATCGTCAGCAGAGCATCTCACTGCGAAACAGAATTTGGTTTTGTCAGCGGCAGCAAGTTCTGACGGGAACCCGAGGTGGTACAGGGTCCCGGAAGCCATCGAACACTTTTTTGAATTGCCGTCGGAATCTTCGTGTTTATATTGCCATCCAATACAACAGGTTAATGAGGTTGGCTTATTTGTATTGTGGATTTCCGCCGTGCTTTTTTCTCGAATGATGATTGCTCCTGAAACAAAACTGTTGGTCCAGACCCCATCCAGTTACATGTCTGTTGTGAATGCTGACCAATTATATCCAAGCAGCTTTTTGGCTGAAAAGGAGCTTGAGTGTCTTTTATTGCAGTCTTAATATGAATTAGTGGCAATACGTAATAATCTTTTTTTCTTCTTTTTCTTTTGGCTGGGGTATGGGGATGGTGTAAGTAAACATATACACAGATAAATGGATGAGGCACGTTGAAGAGGTCATTATTATTATTATTGTTATTATTTAATGTACTGTTGATTTGAAGCTCACTTATATGCGGAAATTTACTGATTGCATATCTTTCCTTTTTCTATTTCTTGAAAATTTACTTTTAAATGTGAATTTTGATTTAGTTTTTTTTTCTTTGTGTTTGTGTGTTGGTGTGTGTGTGTGTGTGACCTCTTTTTGTCATCCTGTTTGGGCGTGGGTGCTTGGCGATGTCTTGGGCCGTCATCAGGAGACCAGTGAAGGTATGTGCCACAGTGGCCGCGGCAACCGCGTTCTCTTGGTTTTATTCTTGTCGCCCGGTGGTTGTGACACAGGAAGCACCAACGATTGCTCTGGACAGCAACGTTGGCTCTGCAGTGGAGCCGCTTTGGGATTACATGTCTTTTTTGGACGCACACACCGGAGAATGGAAAGTGGAATCTAGTAATTTTTTGAAGCGTGGTGAGGTGAGTCGACATACTGACGAGCCCAAGGTGCAAGTGCTGCGACTAGGCTCCTCATATTCGCCGGATGCCGGGAATGGGCATCCAATACCTTTCATGCGTGTTGTTGGATTTTTTCCCGACGCATTCCCAGAAGAGATCTTTAATTTTATGACGGATCTCTACCTGCGGCGACAGTGGGATCGTAATTATCACATGTTTTGCAAGTGGGACTGCTCCACAGGGCAGAGTGCTCCAGAAACGCTGAATTCAGTCAAGAGGCCAATCGAAATGGTTGCAAAGAAGAGACCAGTGTGCCAAAATGACGTTTGTCTTTTGATTCCTGATATTAAAGAAGAAGTTGTTGACCATGGATGGTTTGCGCATCGTGTCGGCCATTCACTTCTTGACCGATTTGGAATTGCTGACCGTCTTTTTGCTTACCAGCGCCGCTCTGTTTGCTACACAAAGTTGGGCAGTGGTGTAAGCCCGCTGAAGGTATATGATATCCTCTATAGTGGAAGTGGCGAGACGGTTAAGAAAGCGACTGAGCAATCCGAACCGTTTGCCGATTGGTTACATTTGTGTGAAAGCGAGAAGGAGGCTACTCGTGTGAGTGTAAATTATCAACATATTTTGATAATTCCTATTTCTGATGCTGCGTCTCAGCTTTGGGCTGATCCGTTGCGCCTCGCCTTTGGTGGAAGCATGGTGGATGGGAAGACCACAAAGATCGTATACGATGAGTTTATGGATAGCGTTCGCCTTTACGCGGAAACAAAGAAGCTGGATGGGACGCTCATGATTATGACTTCGGCCAACGACGTGCAAATGCCTAGCAGCGTTCCAATGTGGGCTCAACGAATGCTTGCCACTTTTTTTTCTAATTATGCGCATCGTGAAATGCTAAAAGCGATACGTTCTCACAGAAAAAAAAATTAATGCCCGATTTGATTGCATAACGCCGCCGCGAATATTATGGATTGACTGCGCGGCCACTTTTATAGGTGCTCTTTGGCGTTTATGACGTTTTTTTTTCTTTTTTTGCTTGCTGACACGTGACGCAACTTTCCTGTTTCACTCTCTTTCTCTTCTCTGGGACGCGTGAGTTTACTGTAGTTTTTTTTTTTAATTTGCTCATTCACGACACATGAAGGGAGGAAGACTTCGGCGATTCGCAATTCACGTTTTGTTTGGACAGCTGGTGGCTTTTTTGAACTCCGTCACTGGAGTGTCAACGACCAAACTGGTAAATAATAATGCCAGTTATCCTCTGCTGCAATCGTTGACGGCGTACGCCTTTATTTTCGCCGTTTATGCACCAATATTTCTTCTGCTGTACATTCGTAACCGGCACCGGAGGTTTTTGAATTTTGTGTTTTTACAGAAGCCTTGGAGGTACGCTGTTCTTGGCCTTATTGACATGGAAGCGAACTTTTTTATTGTCAAGGCCTTCCAGTACACAGACATGATTTCAGTCCAGCTCTTGAATTGCTTCAACATTCCATGTGTTTTTGTGCTAAGCTTTTTTATTTTGAAAATGCGTTTTGCTGTCACCCACATTGTTGGTTGTCTTGTTGCCACAAGTGGCTTGGTGGTTCTCATTGTTTTGGACGCCGATGGAGTGACACGAAATAAGGTGGGGCCTAATGTTGCCAAGGGCGATTTGTTTTGCTTGCTTGCCGCTGCTCTTTACGCGACAAGTAATGTTCTTATGGAGTGGTTTATCAAGCCTCAGCCAAGAGGTGTATATCTTGAGAGTGTGGAGTCTGCCAATACCAATCAAGAAGAGGAGGGCGTTAA